CAGTATGGCGCTTTCTCAAAAAGTTGCAAATAAGGGGAGCTCTGGTGGCCTAGTGGCAAGGAGCTGCAACTACAATCCCAGAGGCACACGGTTCGAATCCACCAGATGCTCTGCCGGGGAAGGAGGGACAGTCTCCTCCTGTACCAGTCAGATCTGATTTGATGGTACACTCACACAAAAATAATAATAATAATAAAAAGTTGCAAATAGAGATACCATTTGACCCTACTACTGGGAATATACCCCAAAGAGACCATAACTGCCACCCAAGCAGATATATGCACACCCATGTTTATTGTGGCTTTGTTCACAATAGCAAGTAGTTGGAAACAACCTAAGTGCCCATCAATGAATGAATGGGTAGAGAAGCTGTGGTATATTCACACAGTGGAATACTATGCTGCACTGAAAAACAAGGAACTCATGCAATATATTATTCAAAATGGGTGACCCTGGAGGACATTATGCTGAGTGGAGTATCTCAGTCACAAAAGGACAAATACTACATGGTGCCACTGTTGTAAAACAGGACTGACCTTGCAGTTGGGGAGAGACTGAGAAAGATGGGTTCAGTAATATATATTGCATTAAAACAGATGAGGGAGAAAACTGTTTAAAGGGCTATGTGATTAGTTATTTTTGTCATGACAGGAGTCTAGAGCAAAGGCTACATGGTGGAGTGGACCTGGGGGAAGGTTTGTAAGACAAAGAATTTTACTTTTTCAAGAGGGTACTATACTAGGGGGGAGGGTTAGGAGGGGAGGAAAGTGCAACAATGAATGAATGGAAATCCAAAGTCTCTGTAAATTTTTACTGAAATTAATAATAAATTTAAATGAAAAGAAAAAAGTCACCATCTGCTAATATGGCTTATCTGAGGACACTGGAGAAATTGAATCCATTTTTATTTTGGAAAAAAAGATGGACGTTGTCAGATTTCATTTTGTTCTGATCCACAATCAATTCTCACAGTGGCAGCAGTCAAGAAATCAAAAGACATATTAGATTGTAGAAATCAGCTGTCAAGGGCCTCGCCAAAAGTACTAAAGAGCAAAGATGTCCACTTAAAGACTAAGGTCTGCCTGCCTGTCCAAGCCGTGATCTCTGTAGTTGCTTTGTATGCATTCTTTTTTTTTTCTATAATTATATTTTATTAATTTTCATAAACATTTACAGAGATTTTGGGCTTCCACTCATTCATTGTTGCACTATTCTCTCTACCCTCCTCCCAGTTTGTTCTTGTCCAAATGCCACAGTGCTTGTCAAAGCCAGTTCTGATTAATCTTCTTTGTCAGTGTGTCCTTTGCCATTCCCTATCACTCCTCCCTGAGAGAGACTTTACCCTGAGTCATAAGGAAAAGGGGACGGCGTATTCTCTTAGCTACTTCCTGCTGAAAAGGGACGCTGTGGGTTTCAGGGTGAAGATCTTCTCTCACTACTCTAAAGGGCCCCTTTGGCAGTAGGAAACACATAGACTATTATGGAGATTGATTTTGGAATTCAGATGCAATCTTATTGATTGTGCTTGGCTGTACATGTACATATCCTTGAAGATGTATCATGGGGGTGTTGCAACCTAGAAGACACAAATTTGACTAACAAGTTATAAGTACATGAGTCCAAAAATTATGGAAAAGTAAAAGAAAAGATTCTTTCATTGTGTTACAAACCCTCCCCCAGGTCCCCTCCACCATGCAGCCCTCGCTCTAGTCTCCTGTGATGACAGAAATACCCAGTTACATCTCTCTTTTAAACAGTTTTCTCCCTCCTCTGTTTCAGTGCAGTATACATTATTGAACCCATCTTACTCAGTCTCTCCCCAACCCCAAGGACAGTCCCATTCTACGACAGTGGCATCATGTAATATTTGTCCTTTTGTGACTGGGATATTTCACTCAGCATAATGTTCTCCAGAGTCAACCATTTTGAATAATATTGCATGAGTTCCTTGTTTTTTAATGCAGCATAGTATTCCATTGTGCGAATATACCACAGCTTCTCTAGCCATTCGTTTGTTGATGGGCACTTAGGTTGTTTCCAACTCCTTGCTATTGTGAACAAAGCTGCAATAAACATGGGTGTGCATATATCTGCTTGGATGTCAGCTATGGTCTCTTCAGGGTATATTCCCAGTAGTGGAATTGCTGGGTCAAATGGTATCTCTATTTGCAACTTTTTGAGAAAGCGCCATACTGCTTTCCACAGGGGTTGCACCATTTTACACTCCCACCAACAGTGAATCAGGGTTCCAGTTTCTCCACAACCTCGCCAGCATTTGTTGCTTGCTGTTCTGTTAAATTTTGCTATTTTGACTGGGGTGAAATGATATCTCATAGTTGTTTTAATTTGCATCTCTCTTAGGGCTAGGGATTTTGAGCATTTCTTCATGTGTTTGTTAGCCATCTGAATGTCGTCTTCGGTGAAGTGCCTGTTCATATCCTGTGCCCATTTTTCTATTGGATTATTTACCTTTATCTTGTTGTGGTGCTCAAGTATTTCATAAATTCTGGATATAAGTCCCTTATCTGATATGTTATTACCGAATACTTTTTCCCAGTCAGTGGCTTCCCTTTTTACCCTACTGGAGAAGTTTTTGGATGTGCACCTTTCTTGATTTTAAACCATGCAGTATTCCTTTGCTCTGTTCAGACAACAGCCTCTTATATACATGGAAGTTTCTCATCCACAGAGTTAGGTGTTCTGAGATTCCCATTTTTCTCAATTTTTTTATTGTGATCTACACAATCAAATATCATTGCATGTAGCCAGTAAAACACAGATAGACATCTTTTTGGTATTCTCTGATTTCATCTGACGGACATCAGCAATGTTATACATGAAGCCATGGGCTCTTTTAAATCCTGCTTGAATTTCTGGAAGTTTTCTGTTAATGTACTGTTCTGCTGCAAGGAAGGACCTTTCCTTGGAGACAGACATCATGTTTGGAAGGGTAGAGGGACTGAGAAAGAGAAGGAGACCCTCGATGAGATGGATTGATGCAGTGACTAAGGTATTGAAGGTAGTTGTGTCAGAGACAGTAAAGTTGGCACAGGATAGAGCAGGTTTCAGGGCTATTGTACACAGGGTAGCTATGAGTTGCAAGTGACTTGATGGCACATAACAACAACAACAGCAGCAACACTGTTCTGTTATTATGTGCTGTCAAGTTGCCTGTGACTCATAACGACCCTATGTACTGTTCTAGCCATTTTTAAATAATCTTCAGCAAGATTTTGCTTGCATGTGACAGTAAAGATACTGTTTGATACTGTCCACGTTCTGTTGGTTCACCTTTTTTGGGAATAGGAACATAGATTGATCTCTTCCAGTCAGTTGGCCAGGTTTCCAGGCTTCCAGATTTCTTGGCACAGTCTGGTGAACACCACCTTGGAGATACCAGGCTGCACCTGTTTGCTGAGATGTGTCAGTTGGTATTCTGACAATCCTAGACCTTATTTTTCTCCTTAGATTTATTAATACAGTGTAGGACATCAAGGAATTTCCTAGGTGAACCAATTTTACATTCCTAGAATAAACTGCAAGGAACTTGGTGGCTTAGTGTTAAGGAGTTGCACTGCCAGTCCAAAGGCGTGTGGTTTGAATCCACCAGCTGCTTTATGGGAGAAAGATGTTCAATCTTGTCTTGTGCAGTTGCCTTTGAAAACCTACTGGAAAGTCAGCCGTGAGTTGATTCTGACTTGATGATGCATAATAACAACAACAGCAACAGAAAAAAATTCCAATTGATCCAGTTGTTTTGTTAATGTGATGTTGGGTCCTGTTAATATTTTGTTACTATTTTTGCATTAAAATAATAAGTGATATTTGTCTGTATTTCCTTTTTTTTGTATTGCCTTTATCAGAGTAAAGAGTCTAGAGTCTATCTTATAAAAATAAATCTGGAATAATTAGAAGAGTGTTGGGGGCTTTCTATATTGGATATTGTGTTACTGTATACCACCGGTTGGAACTGACTCATAGCTGACTCTCCAGCAGGTTTCAAAGACACTAA